GTGCGCCTGGAACTTTGGGTTCAATCCCATGTCCCAACAACTGACACCATCCCCAGAATTCCTAAGGAGGTAGGTCAGAATGGGACTCAAGGCCCTGCACTGCTGACGTCCTAAGATCCTGATGAAATCACATGTTGATTTTGAGAAATACCGATCAGTCCTGAGAGGGAGGGGAATCTTGTGGTCGTAGGGACTGAGTCTCTCTGGGTTGCTAAATTGGACAGACAGACAAAGCACCCTGTAAGTAGGCATTCTCTGTCCCAGGGTTGTCCTCTACTTGTTACAGATACCTTGGGAACCTTGGGAAACACAGATCCCAGACCTTGACCCTGCCATTCTGGACTGTGTATTTTTTTTTTTTAAAGAAGCGTTATGAACATTTAATACACAGTGGACCTAGGTAAAAGTTACAGTGTTTATAAGAAAGTAATTGCCAGTAGTCCCTTGAAACTGTCGTCTTAACCCATTGGAAAATACCAGCATATGTGTCTTTCTGTTGTGAATTGTCACTGCATAATACTTTAAGAACAAATGGAAACAAAACCTTCCATTTCTTGTAGTACTGCTCTAAGACAGGACAGAACAGTGTGTCCCCAAGACGTAAGAAATGCCCTGCCTCGTCTCCCTGGGTATAGAAAACAAAGGTATTTTGATTTTGAGATTTGTCCATAACTGAGGTTGGGCAAGTCCTGTTGATGTCCCTTATCGCCTGGTGTTATGGGTCCCGGTCAGTCCCTCCACGCTCCGGCAGCAGGGGAAAGGTTCCAGCTACAAGGATGCCCTGTTTACAAGGCTTGAGACTAGCAGAAGCTTCTTCCTTGTGTAGACTAGACTTTAGGGAATGGTTCCCATTTCTTTTTATTTCTATTGTTTACTGGTCCTCACAAAGATTGCCTCTGTAATATAAAAAATGTTCTATTCATAAAAAGAACAGTAAAAACCAGAACACATCAGAGAGTACTTGATCTCCCGCTCCTTTTCCCAGGGTCTCACCCCTTGGCATTTCTCTGGGCTTCCTTCCTGCTTCAGGTCCCAGGTTCCCCGCCTCCAGGAGATTCGTAGAAAGGACTCTGTCCAAGCTTTTGCTGCTTTGGAAAAGCACTTGATGGCTGGGGGATCGTGTTTGTGTGGGCAGGAATGGAATCATTTTGTGGTGTATGGCTCTCCCAGCGCCTGTTTCCGGCTCTCTTGGAGAAGAGCCCTGGGAAGTGGGTGGGCTGAACAATGAGGGTCAGAGCCCAGTGACCTGGCAGGCCTTCCCCAGAAAGCTCTGCCATTTATACATTGGTGCTTGCTCCTTCCCTTGGGAAATCTGTGCAGACCTCCAAGGAAGGATGGGAACCAAACCTGGTCACAAGCACTGGCCACTGTGGCCAGCGCACCGGGGCAGGGGACAGTGACAGTGAGGTACTGGCCACACTCAACAAGTGGAAACCAAGTGTACAGCACGAACAGGCAGGGCTGAGAGATGACTTTTAGTGGAAATGTGGTTAGGGGCATAGCAGTCGTGTTCCTGGGTTTGGGCACAGGAAGTGGGGGAGAGAAACTGAGCTCCGAAGGCGCCAAAGCCACCTCAAGGTTCCCCTTGACCTTTATTTATTTTAATTTTTTGAGAGACTTGCTATAAAGATAGAGCCTATTTATTATTATACTGGGGTGTTTAGGACATTCTTGATTTGAGGAATTGATTATGGCTTCCCTCTGGAAGCTTGCTGTACCCTTGTAAACTTTTTGGAAAGTTGGTCCGTCCCCTCCCAGTTAGCCTGAACTAGCCCCCCAGGTCTTACACCTCCACTTCTGGGAACGAGAGCTAAAGTAGTGTACAGAAGAGCGGGTGAACTCATGGTTTTCCACGGTGGGTACGAATTCCAGGAAGAATCCGTGCCGCACGAGGCAAGCTGCCCACGCGGCTGTCACCTCCTTGAACCTGTGCACTGGTTAGAACAGAAAAGTTTTAGTGGCCTGCCCTCTAGTGTTGGCCATGGAGAACCACAGCAGGCTGCAGTTGGAGATGGAGCTTCCTTTGGGAAACTGAGTACTGGTATGGTGGCAGGTGTGTAGGGAAGGTAGGGGCATTCCTTCATGCTCCTGAGACCTGGGGCTCCTTCTGAGAACCTAGAGCACGGAGCGTTTTGTTCTCATCAATATCTATGCACTGATCTTGCCACTGGCATTTTATTTATTTATTTATTTATTTACTTACTTGCTTATTTATTATTTATTTATTTATTTATTTATTTATTTATTTATTTATTTATTTATTGGTTTTTCAAGACAGGGTTTCTCTGTGTAGCTTTGCGCCTTTTCCTGGAACTCACTTGGTAGTTCAGGCTGGCTTCGAACTTACAGAGATCCGCTTGCCTCTGCCTCCCGTGTGCTGGGATTAAAGGCGTGCGCCACCATCGGCCGGCGCCACTGGCATTTTATTGCCCTGTAGCAGCAGGGCTGTGCAGGCCTGGTGGAAGCCGGCTCTGCCTCCTGTGCAGTCTCAGATCCAGCACTTACTGGCACCAAGTGGTTATCTGCCACTCTGGAGGTGCTATGTCTTACAGGCATCCATCATCCTGGTGGAAGGTGGCAAAAGCCGAACCCCCTCTCCCAGGGCACAGAGTCCTCACTTAAGGGGTTTGTGTGAGCCAGGGTCCCAGGTCCTAAGCTGTACCTCAGTTCTTCAGCATAACTATCCAGAATAAGGGAGCAAACTTTGCTGAATTTTCCTCTAAAAACATGACCAAGGGGCTGGTGGAGTTGGCTTTGATTTGAGAGTTTCTAACTTTTTGTTGTTTTTGGTTTATGGTTCTTGGTTTAACAAGGTCTTATTGAGTAGCCCCAACAGGCCTGATACTTCCTGTTCTGTATCTCAGTCTGCCTTCAGTCTTGCAGCAATCCTCCTGCATCCAAGAGCTGTGATGACAAACCTCATGCCATCTGGCTACAACTTTGATTTTAGAGAATACGGAAACCATGCTTACATGCCAGGAGTTTATCACGGGTTAAACTGTCTTTCAATATTTCATCCCCTGAGAGTCTACACAGGACCTCAGACACTGGCCCACAGAGTGTAGGGAATCCTCCTTTACAAGAAGGCAGATTCAGGTCATATGTCCCTAATCGGAGGAGCACCAAGCTTGACAGCAGCCACCAGAAACTGGGAGGCACAGGGAACGTGCAGTTCTAGCCTCTAGAACTCTGAGGGAACAAATGGCCTGTTGAAGCCTTCCCATTGGTGTGGTTTTTCTGATGGGATTGGACAGAGCTCAGTGCCTGTTGCTTTTAGGCTTGAAGGGGTATGCTGCAAGCTGGATGCTTTCCCTGGCAGTCAGGAGTCCCCATGTTCTATTGATTGGAGGGAGCTGAACACTGTGGGGTGCATGATGTCTGTCTGCTGTATGCTCTTGGAGAGTCTTGCTGCTTTCTGGTTTTGTTAAGATAGGGTCTCAGTATATATACCTGGGGCTTACTGTGTAATTTAGGCTGCTTGGCACTCATTCCTCCTGCTTAGGCCTCCCAAATGCTGGAATTCCTGGTATGCACCACTATGCCTGGCCAGTCTTGCCACCTTTTTTGGGGTTACTTTAAATAAAGAATGCGTTATTACATTATATTTAAGATTAGGGTGGTGCATTCTGTATTTATTTGAAGCAAATTATCTGAAATGCCACCTGCTGCAATGATTCAAATCACATAAATAAAATACAAATAAAATGACCTGTGCCTTCGGGAGTCCCTGACATTGTCACCAGATCAACCCAGCAGTCCACCGACTCTCAGTTGCAAGCCGTTCTGGGGTAAATGACTCATCTGTCCCTTGAACTAACAGTCGTGAAAGTATACCGTATTCCAGGTACTGCCACAAGCTCTGAGGTAAGTTTCAGAGGTGTAACCACAGTGGAATCTCCACAGGCTGAAGGTCTGGACTTGTTCAGAGTTAAAACGCCATTTTTTCCCAGGGAAGAATAGACTCCGAGTATCCAAAGTGATAAGGCCTGGGTTGTGGGGATGCTTAATCATTGTGGGGCTATGATTTCCAGACTCCAGGCAGTAAGGTCACGTGTGGAGCCTGGAGGGGTTGTGGAGCACTCAGCAGAGGAAGGTAAAACTGTGGAACCAATGGCCTGGTGGTTGTGGATTTCATTTGCAGCAAAGATAACCTAAAAAGGTAGAGTTTTCCATACATCGAGGGAACAAACTCACTATGTCACAGCAAGGTTTTAAAAATAATTCTGAAAACTTGCTAGGATTGTCCACCACAGCATGCCATTAAAGACAAAAACAGTAACAGTCTCAACACCCCGTCCCACTCAAGTTGCCCCCAAACTTAGTTAATACAACCACAAATCAAATGGGCTCCTAGCGCCGTGGGCAGCGCGCAAACTCTCTCTAGTCTTGGAGGATACGAGGGAAGGCAGCCACTGTGGCTCAGAAGACTGTATCCTTGACATTTTTCTGTGTTAAAAGTGATCCCAGGCTTGAGCAATGGCTCAGTGGCTAAAAGCACTTACTGCTCTTGCAGAGGACTGGGATTCAATTCCAAGCATGGCGGGTCACAACCATTAGTAACTAAAACTCCAGCTCCAGGCAATCTGAGCCTTTCTTCTGACCCTGCAGACACCCCACAAGCACACAATACACATACATACATGATGCACATACAGGCAAAATACTCATAAAACCAAGAAAGGCAAGCCGGGCGGTGGTGGCGCACGCCTTTAATCCCAGCACTCGGGAGGCAGAG